TTATGCCACTGAGCTATATCCCCAGCCCTGTATTTCATTTTCTCCTCTCCGAGTTACCTGGGGATCAAGCCTGGAGAAAAAAGTTGAACACTAGTAAGTCCTTCAAATATTATGTTGATAGGTTGAAGAATGGATAAATACCAAAACATAACTAAAGGACACAATGAATTTAATTAAACAGGTAAAGGATTTTACTAATAAAATGTTCAAGCTGGCCATAGTAGTACATGTTTATAATCCCAACACTTGGAAGGCTGAAGCAGGAGGATCACCACAACTTTGAAGTCAGCCTGCATTACATAGTGAGTTCAAGGTTCTAAGCCAGCCTGCACTACAAAGTGAGACTGTCTCAAAAAAGAAAAAAGAAAGAAAGAAAGAAAGAGCAAAAAAAAGAAAGAAAAGAGAAAGTTCAATAAGCTTAAAGAAGAAACAAACGATAAACTGAGACCATTTTGGGAAAGAATTAGAATGTCTGAAAAGAAAGCAAGAAGCAAGAGGACATAGATAACAGGAAAAATTCAGTGGAAAGCACGAGTAGCCAATGTCACCAATGTGAAAACAACGTCAGAAATAAGACTAGGCAGATGTAGAAGATCACAAACTCAGTGATACCCTGAAAATGACAAGACATCATGTAAGCTGGATTCAGCAACTGCCAGATGACTCAAAAACAGAACCTCTGAATTATAAGAATAAAGGAAAAATTAGAAGATGGCTTAAAAGGTAAAAAAGTGTACTCACTGAAATCAGATCAGCAAGTTTTCCAAATCTAGGGAAAGAATTCAATGTTCAAGTACAAGAGGCATAAAGAGCCCCAAATACTCAGGGCTAAAACAGGACTTCTCACAAATCGCAATCAAAGTTCCAGAAATTCAAAAAAAGGAGAAAATACTAAAAGCTGTTAGGGAAAAAAAAAAAAGTAAGCTATAAAGGCAAGCCCAACAGAATAACTGGATTTCAGTTTCTTAGCCCACCTGTTGCTGGCATTTTGTTTGAGCAGCCCTAAGAAAATAATCCAGGCACATTCTGCCCCCACCCCCGACACAGACCGCAGCGTCTCCCCAAGTCTACCCCACAAGGGGATGGGGGTGGAAACAAGGCGCTCCACTTCCCACCCTGACTGTGTGGGAGCTCCGGCCTCAGCTCTCAGCCTCCTGGGGCCAGGGGGAGGGTGAAGACAAGGAGGAGCAAGAGCTTGGCTCCATGGACCATCACTGAGTCCAGGGTCACTCCCTGGGGGTCACTGAGCTTTCTCCCCCCTGTTCTTGGAGCCCGGAAAGCCCAGAGGCAGAGTTTTTTTGGCCCTCTCACCTCCAACCCCTTCTCCAGCCATCTAATTTGGAAGAGATAAGATAACCCTTTTAACCTCCACGTGGAAGATGCCACAAGAAGCATAGCAAGAGGATGCTCACCTGCCTGGTGCCTCACCTGTGTGCGCCGGGCAGAACAGGCTGGGAGGAAGAGGCCTGGGCTGAAAACGAGGGGAGAAGGGAATGCGGAGGTAGCTGTCAGGACACTGGGAGGAGGAGCCTCACGCCTCTGTCCAGACAGGGAGCCTCTCACCACTGCACAGCTCCCCTTCTCAGGAGGTCCCGTCCCTAAGGGTCGGCTCCGGAGATTTTAGTCCATTTTCCCCAAAATGGACATGATGCAGCTGGGTGAGCCACGGTTCTAGACTTCCAGGACTGAGTCCACAGCATGCCCAGAACAGGAGGCAGCAAAACATCCTAGTGATCCTCAGATAGCTCATTACCCTGACGGCAACCAGGCCCCCCACAGGCGCCTCCCTGCTGGACATCCAAACCCTGCTGGAAACAGGACAGGCCTCCGGCCAAGGCTGGGATGGGCACAGGACTCTGTGTACATCCTGGGAAGGCTGTGTATGTCCTGGGAAGGCTATGGGGGTGGCAACCCCCATAGCAGTGTAGGACACAGTAGTCACTGCTGCCACCCCCTGAGTCCGGGGGAGCCGGTCTGCTGGAGGACATGAAGGTCCAGTCCTCCTGCGGCAGATAGGGGGACTGCTGCCCCCACAAGTCCACACACCCCGCTGGCAGCACAGCCTCTGAGCTCAGGGACCCTGGGAGGCCAGAGCCAAGGTTCACTTCCTCCTCCAGGCCTGAGGGTTGCCAGGGCCGTGCCGGGCTGTACGTGAGCAGGGCGATGGCCTCCCACACGCTGGACTCTGAGGCTCCTTGTGGAGTGCCGTCACCATCCTGGGTTGGCTGGGGACCAGCCCCGCAGGCCCCTGTCCAGGTCTGGAACAGAGCACAGCAGGGAGGGAAGGACCCACTCGGAATAGCAACCTGCTTCTCCAGGAAGCTCTCCAGACATCCACACCAAGTGCCCAGGGAGCGCCTGTGCCCAGAAATTCCGAATTCCCTGTGTGCCAGCCTGGCTTCCGAGGGGCCCTGAGTCCCTCCAGCCTCTCACTGCTCCTTCCCAGAAGCTCATGCTCACAGCAGACTGAACCAGAGCACCGATGGTGGCTTGTGCTAAGGACACAGCAAGCCCCTACAGCCTGCTGTCCAGGCCCTTTCAGCAGCTACAGAGGCTGGGGAACCCCACCCTGAACCCACCACACACACAACACAGAGAAGCAGTCAGGACCCTTCTATGGGGCCACAGGAGGACCTGACCTCCAAAAGAAAGCTTCCCTGGGTGGAACCAGGAGCCTCCACCAAATGCACTGCACACACACGCCCTCCATCTTCTCCAGGAGCACCGTAGCCGTGCCAGACCACCCCTGCCCCCAGGGTGCTGAGATTCTGCTGAGGGACACAGCCTTGCCTCATTCAGCTTTGTCTCCAGTTGCCCAGGCTCTTCACAGTCACCTCCAGTGCCTTGGGGGAAGTGACAGACTTTGTCAAGAGCTAAGTGCCTAGTTTCAAACTTGATATTATATTTTGGGGCAACAGGCTTTTTTTTTTTTTTTTTTTTTTTTTTTTTGTACCAGGAATCAAACTCACAACCTTAGCTCACTTTGTAGCCCAGGCTGGTCTCGAACTCACAATGATCCTCCTGCCCCAGCCTCTTGAGTGCTGGGATTACAGGTGTGTGCCACCACGCCTGGCTAGGGGCAACAGTCTTGAAAAGGTGTTTTGGTTGTTTTTGCATAATAAGTTATACAGGATGAAGATGTTCCCATCCCCAGGGCAGAGAGAGGCCCAGGGACCCTTGAGGGGAAGACACTTAGCCCTGAGCGGGGAAACCAGTGACCAGCCATGGGCACCCACACACACAAACCGTGAACCCCAAGAAACCACACAGATGGTCAGTGCACTCCAGGTGGCTTGTATATGCCCGCTGCCTATGAGAACCAAATAAGCCCATAAAGGGTGAAATGTAGGGTCTACTCATGAGCCATACTCCCCACAATGACCACAGTGGCCTCCAGGGGAGTCCAAGGCCCTGCCAGGCAGGGGACCAGTGGAAGCACAAGTAGCAGAGACCCTTCCCCAGAAACATGTCTGGAGAAGAAGGGGGAAAAAGGGATGAGTCGGTAGGGACAGAGAGCCCCTCAGTCTGCCCCTTGAACCGACCATTTCCTGCAGTGGTGAGCAGAGGAGAGTGATTAGCTAGGAGAAAGTTTAGTTTTCCCACCAAGAACAGAACAAAAGTAAATGAGCAATAGGAAATAGGACCAAGTTTTTACCCCCTTTAGACACAGTATGTAAATTGAAACCCACTGTATGAATAAAGAAGGTTCAGAGCACTGACAAAGGCCCCATGCTCATCCCAACCCCATCCCAGCCACACCCTGTGCTCACCAGACCACTACACCTGCCCCACACAGCTGTGGTGTCCCCACACACCTGGAAGTTCCCGCCGTGCACAGTGTAGAGGGGCCGGAAGAACACTGCTGGCGAGGGCACATGCTGGTAGAAGAATCTCTTCACCCTGGGGACAGGAAGGGACAGTCTGTAGGGACCCAGACAGGGGCTCCTCCCCAGGCCACACTCCAGAAGGCCCGAGATCACTGTAGGGACCTGAGCCTTTGTCCAACTAGCAGGTGCCAGTCCTCCACATCCAGGATGCTACCCCTGTCTCCCCATCATGGAGTCCAAACCTGCCCTCACAGGGCTGGGCATGACAGCCCACTTCTGTAGTCTTAGCTGCTCAGGAGGCTGAGGCAGGAGAATTACTTCAGCCCAAGAGCTTGTTTGTTTATTTGGTGTGTGTGTGTGTGTATGTGTGTGTGTGTGTGTGTTTAGGGATTGAATCTAGAACCATCACAATGAGCTACGTCACCAGTCCTTTTTTAATTTTTTATTTTGAGGCAGGGTCTCCCTAAGTTGCTAAGTTTCCCCAGGCTGGGCTCAAACTTGAAATCCACCTCAGCCAGGGTGCTGAGATTACAGGTGTGGGCCCCTATGCCTTGCTTAAGTCTAGGAATTTGACACAAGCCTGGGCAACACAGCAAGACCCCATCTCAATTGAAAACACACACACACACACAAAAAAAAAAAAAAACAAAAAAAAACAGACAATTCTGCCATCTGGACAGGATGCAGTTTGGCAGGCTATGACCTCTCTGGCTAATGCCTGTAGACCTGATGTGTGCCAAGGCATGTGCCCTTCACAGGGCAAGCTGCAACAGCAGGTCCACAGCTAGAAGTAAGCAGCCAGGTTCTTGTTTGCTGGTTGGTTGGTTACTTGGTTTATTGGTTTGTTGTATTCTAAGACAGGGTCTCACTATGCAGTTCAGGCTGGCCTCGAACTCACTATGCAGCCCAGGTTAGCTTTGAACTTGCGACAGTCCTCCTGCTTCAGCCTCCTGAGTGCTGGGATTACAGGCGTGCGCCACCACACCTGGCCTGCACTCAGACTCTTAACCCACAGAGGGAGCCAGTGGTTCCAGGAACCTCATCTGTGACATCAGCAGGCAGCCTGTGGCTCCCCACCCCACTCAATGTCTCCCTGAATACCAGAGCTCCTGTCCAGGACCCGCTGGTCCTCCATGAGGAGGCTGGGAGAGGTCTCCAACACAACAGAGCCAAATTGACCTCACCAGCCTCCCAGGCCTGGGCTCTCAAGTTTTAACCCCACAGATTATCCTCAGACCTCAGTTTCTCAAGACCCTGGCTGCTCCCTTCACTTTGCTCCACCTCCTCTTTTCTCACTAGCTCAAGTCAAATTGCCACTCCATGGACACCACCAGCGGTTCACTCTCAAAACAAACCTGCTTGTGGCACGCACTGAACACTCTTCCCCTGCTCGCCATGGCCCCAAAGACAGCCAGCACCTCCTGCTCCACAGGACCCTGTGCTACACCCTTGCCCACATCCTCTACCCTTTCTGTCTGCTCCCTCTCATCTTCTCCAAGACTTGGCCACACCTGAACAGTCTCTCACAGCACCCACTCCCAGACACAGTCTCGTGTGCCCTTGACACCTGACAGGTGGCGTGTGAGGCCTGGGGCTTGTCTAAGGTGAGTCCTCATCCCTTCAGCTCTCTGAGGCAGTCCTGGGCTGAGAACACATTCCTATGTGCCCTAGATGGCAAAATGACACTTTCATACATTGTGTGGACAGATGAGCAAACCAGCAAGCCCCAGAGGCAGGAGACAAGGACTTCGGGTCCTGGTTCCCAGTGACTCTATCCCTCCTCAGCTGATAGGAACCAAGCTGCCCTAGTCCTCAGTCTTTGCCATAGGACACCCTTCTCGTCTTGCTTCTGGCTACTTGGGAGCCCCTCCCACTAGCCCAGTGTGGAGACCTGAAGACACCCATCTTCCCAGAACTGGACAGTAGAGAGGGAAGGAAAGGAGCTGGGAGGGCTGGCCTACTGTGCTCCAGATAGCACATACGTACACACGTGCATGCTGACACACTCACACATTCAGTACACACTTACACACAGGTGCATGCACTAATACACACACTAACAAGTGCATGCACATACGCATTCACACATGAACACATGCACACATTAACACATACACACTCATACACGCACACAAACATGCACTAACAGATGCACACTAGTGCACTCACATGTGTACCTTACATATACATGCACTCACATGCAAGTGTTTGCATGCACTAGCACATTCACACACTCACAGACCTCCCAGGCAGACCCATACTAGCAGAGGCACATACTAACATACTCATGCACACTCACATGCACCACTCACTTGTACTAACATGCACACACTAACAACACACATGCACATGCTCAGATGCACTAGCAGATGCACACACTACTACAGGCACCCAAACTCATAGGTGCACACACACTAACACTTCACAAGTGCACTCCCACATGCAGTTCACATACACACATGCATGCAATCACATACACTAACAAATGCACACACTGACACATAATAGCTCACATGCACACTAACAGATGCACACACATTAGTGGGTACATACATGTACTCATACACATGTAGTTACTGGTGCGCATACTAACACACACCTCACATACTAACATACATGCACACGAACACATTCATGTGTACACACACATGCATTGGCCACCTACCTGAGTGACAGCTTGAACAGAAGATAGGTCAGGCCAGTCAGCAGAAGAAAGATGGTCACAGCAACAAGGATGGCCTCTGGCCATCTCTCGGGTGAAATTAAGAGGCCTGTGGGCAGGGCTATGAGCAGCATTCGTGTCAGGTTGCACCCCCTAAGCCATCTGTGAATGCCCTGCAGTAGGAAGGGCTCAGGATGGCCCTGGAGGACTTGGGTCATGCCCGCAGAAGTCTCTGGGGTGAGTCTCACTCTGGGTCTCATGCTTTTTATCTGCCATAGGGCCAGTGGTTAGGTCTGCAAAGCTGTCCAGCACCACTGTGCACAAGTCAGCCCCGCCTTCCCTAAGGAGACCAAGGTCCTGCTCTGCTCCAGACAGAAGCACCAGCCTGGAGAGCAATCCGAGGCCGTGCTCACTCCTAACGGCAGCCGGTAAACAGCTTTCTGGGACCCACTGCATGTCACCCACCTCAGTCTCCAGGGCAGGGGGCTCCAAGATGGCTAAAGGCATGGGGAGGCGGGACAGAGGAAAGAAGGCCCAGCCCAGGTGCAGAAGAGCAGCCACCACACGACACCCACCTCGAGGAGAGGAGAAGCACACAGGCTGGCTCCAGTTGCTCCACTGGCCCTCATGACGCTCCTCCTCTGCCATGTCCCCCTCCAGAGAAGCCATCTGAACACGCAGCCTGGCTTCATAGGCAGAGCCAGGGTCCAACTCAATGGCTTCGAGGGTAAACCAGGTCACCCCAACTATGTGGTCCTTGTGCTGGGCCTGCTGTGGGGTCCGGGCCATTAGCAGGTATTGAGTGTAGCCGGGTCCATTCACCCTTGAGAATGTACACACATACACAGACAGCCCCCTCATGTACACACACACACAGGCGCACCCACCCACACACATCTACAGCCACATTTTCACACTTTCATGCACAGTCAAGCGCACATATGTGTGCACAAGTTCCCCATTCATGGAAGTCACATGTGGACACACCTAGTGCACACACACATAAACACAAGGCACAGACACACTCGTGTATACTCATGAATACACACAAATGTGTGCAAAGAATGAAAGCGCACACGTGCACACACACACACACTCACACTTGTGTGAGGTCCCCTTCCCTCCTCACCATTCACTCTAGCTGCTCCCAGGGAGAGAGAGAGCCCCAGGAAAGCCAACTAAAATGTTACCTCCCAGGTCTCTTCCTGCCTCTTGAAGGCCAGCTCATAGCTGAGAAGTGAGGCCATCGGCTCCAGGGCAGGACTGATGCTCCAGGTCAGGACACAGGAGCCAGAGCTGGTGTTGCTTTGCAAGTCACAGGGAGGGTCCAGCTTCACTGAAACACAGTGAGGATGTGTGAGGCTGCAGCCCATGCTCTGGCCCAGAACTAAGGCTCCAAGAGTCCCACAGGGCCCTAGTCGAGGCCTCCTCAGACCAGGGTCTCACTGGAAGACTTAGAGAACAGGATAGCAGTGACTTCTAGCCCATGCAGCAAGGCGGTTTCCAAATGGCTTCCCTTTCCTTCACAGTCTGTGGGAGTTTTTTTGTTTTTGTTTTTGTTTTGTCTTTTTGAGGCAGGGTCTCGCTCTGCAGTTCAGGCTGGTCTTGAGCTCACCTTGTAGTACAGGCTGGTCTCAAACTCACAACAATCCTCCTGCCTCAGCCTCCCAAGTGCCGGGATTACAGGCATGTGCCACCACGCCTGGTGACATCGCCCTCAGTGACAAGTTGGGTACAGAGTCTGTGTCCATGTGCCATTTGGGCCAGTGACATAGGCCAGGCTGTCCCTGAGTTTGGCCACCTCAAGGGTCTTTAGTTTACAACCCAGAATTTTCCCTTTTAAAATGAGCAGGTCAGCCAGACATGGTAGCACACACCTGTAATCCCAGAACTTGGGAAGTTGAGGCAGGAAGGTCACTGAGTTCAAGGCCAGCCTAAACTTATATATAGCAAGAGTCTATTTCAAAAAAATATAAAAATAAATGGCAAGCACAAGGCCCTGAATTTGATTCGTGGTATAATCAATTAATCAATAAATTTTATATATATATATATATATATATATATATATATATATATATATATATATAGTTTGTTTTTGTTTTGTCTTTTTGAGACAGGGTCTCGCTCTGCAGTTCAGGCTGGTCTTGAGCTCACCTTGTAGTACAGGCTGGTCTCAAACTCACAACAATCCTCCTGCCTCAGCCTCCCAAGTGCTGGGATTACAGGCATGTGCCACCACACCCGGCCGTTCACAGTCTAGGGATGCAAGTCCTTCCCAGTGTCTTGCTAGAGCTCTTCCTGCTGTGACTGCAGAGCATTTCCAGTGACTGAAACCAAACCATAGCCCTAACCCAACTAGTCCTACATCTTCATTCTCTGCCTACAGACCCTGCTGTAGCCACACGGGCCCTCCCCTCCCAGGGACCCAGTCTGCTCATACTCCTGGGTCTTGCTTGGTGAGGACTCTTGAGACCACATGGGTCATAGGCTAAGGTTCCTGTCCCCAAACTCTAAGCACCAAGGCTGCTCCTGGCCAGGCCCCCTGCTCACCATGTCTCCGGGGCAGGTACTGTGGGTCCACGAGGCTGACCTGCTCCATCCCAGAGACACAGTGGTGGAAAGTGATGCTGAAGTTGTCGGAAGGCAGGAGCACCTCCTCAGGCGGCAGCACCACTGTGCATGTACTACCCTGGAAGATGCACTTGTGCTTGCTGCCCGGTGCCTGGTTGCTGGAAAGGCCGCGTGTCAGCACCAAGGGATGCTACTGCCCCCTACGGAGACCACACCTCCAGCCCCTGTTCTCTCCCCAGGTAGGCCTGGCCCTCCACCTCACCTGGTGAAGAGGAGCCAGGGGCCACAGCCCTGGCCCAGTTCTGGGGCAGACCAGTGGCAATCAATCCTGAGGATGTAGTTGGTGAGGCAAGTGAAAGTTGTAGCCCTTGTCCCTGGGGATGACAACCATTGAGGACCACAGTGGACATTTCAGGAACCGAGTCAGGGGTGGGGGAGGACGTGCAGCATAACCCTAACAAGGCATTCTCCAGAGAATGGTCCCAGGGCAGGGCTGGGAGACCTGAGAGGTGCTGGGTTTCCCATGGTGGCACCTTCTGGCGCGTGTGCCACAGCGGGCTGTTTATATCACTGAAAACGCCAGAAGTTTCACCACCACTGCCCTAGGGGGTTAAGGGTGGGAAATGAGGGTGGGCAGGAGCCCTAGAAGAGAGGTCCCAGCTGTCCCCCATCCCAGTCCCTAGTCTCCACCCACCCACCTCACGCAGATGCCGGTGCCCAGCCCTCACCTCCTCCCTCCTCCGGAACAGAGACTCCCCAGCAGATGCAGGTCCAGAGCAGGAGCCAGGTGCCCACATCTCGAAACAGGGCCTCACTCTCCAAGGTCCAACCTGCAAGGGACTGGACTGAGGGGGCCTGTGCCAGGCCCCCCTCTGGGAAGGTGTTCCCCATGAGACCCTCCCCAACGAAGGCTCTGAGTGGGGCAACCACATGCCTTCGCCATGTCCCGTGAAAGAGGCTGAGAACTTCTGTCCAAGCTTCATTGACCATAAACTCAGAAGGGCCACTTGACCTGACCAAAGACCCCTGGCTCAGGCTCAGATCTGCCTCCACATCTGCATAGAAGGCCCCTTTCTGAGACCCTCAACCCCTGCCAGCCCATCCCCCTGTCCCCAGGTCTAGGTTCAGCCACCAGACAGTCAGGGTTGGGGGAACCGGTTCCTACCAACAACCACAGGGAGATTCACTGAGCCCGTGGGTGATGCATCCCGAGCTACTGTAGTTCCGAGAACAGCCATGGGAAGAGCAGCCCCTGTTCATAACAAGGAAGCAGAGTCCCAAGAAGGGGAGGCAACTTGTCCGAGGTCACATACCAGCCTCTGTGTCCATACCCCCTTTCTCTGCCTTAAAGACCCGCATCGGGTTCTGCCCCAGGACACAGATGAGGATGGCAGCAGGTATCCGTGCCACAGAGGACACTGCCTAAACTACCTGTCCCAGGTGCACTGAGGATGGCAAGGCCTTGGGCTCTGGGATATGTGGGAGCCAGAGGTTTCCTGCAGGCCAGGGGGTATCAGGAAGTGCCTGACTGTGGGGAGGCTTCTGACGCCCTGTCACCCCATTTGTAGCTACAGATGGCTCACCGATAGCCCTTAAGCAGGAAGCAGGACCAGCCTAGTTATACAAGACTGATTAGTGATAAAGACAAGAAAAGGAAGCAGACATGCACACAGACCACAGCATGCTCACCCTCCAGGAGCCACACATCCTCCACAGGCACTACACCCACCCCACCCACCCCAGCAGCCTGTCTGTGCATCCACGCCCTTCCCTGCAAGAAGTGTGCGGTCCCACACCAGCAGCAGCAGCATGAAAGAATAGTTCTCCATAGCACTGTCTGTCCCCTCTTGCAGGAGTTACTGGCAAGGTATGGATGAAATATCAGCCCATGCAAGGTGTGAAAAGGCAGTGGAACCAGGACCTGGAGGAATCTCAGCTCCCAGCTGACCCAGACCCAATGGACAATCCTACCCCAGCTGGAGAGGTACCCAGATGAGCCACAGAGGTGCACAACTGGCCCAGCCTAACCCAGGGCAGATGGTGGAGAGCAGGGAGTACAGTGGCTTCTAGCTTAGCAGGCTCCTTTTCTAGATAGGTGCAGGGGGCAGAGGGACAGGAGACACCCTGCAGAGCACACCCAGCAGCAGCATGGCCATCCTGAGGGAAAGGGCCAGTGTTTTCTTCTGCACAGAACACTTTCATCTACATCTGGTAAGCTGGGTAAGATAGGGTGATCCCTCTCCTACTAGTGAAGAAAGTGAGGCCCAGAGAGGTGAAGGATTTGCCCAATACATTGTGCCTAGGCCTCTTTTCTTAGCAGGTGTCCTAACAGCACTCACCTAGCCTGTGAGCTTCTTGAGAGCAAGGTGTGACTCCTATCAGTGCATGCCCCACAGAAGACATCCAAGTGCTGCACAAGTAGGGTGAAGCCTTAGGAAGAATGCAAGCCACACCCATTCCCCAGGGCACCACAGACCTCTCTCTGCTTAGGGCTTCTTGGGCATAGGGCAGGACATTACTAAGCCCAGGGCCACCATCCTTGACCAAGAGCTAGGCAGTCAGGGCAGGTGCACACAGCACACCTGCACTTTTTGGTTCTGGGAGAGGCCTGGAATGAGCCCAGGGAGGCCTGACCGTAGATCAGATATCAAGCCACAGGATAGCATGAGAGCAGTAGAAGCCAATGTCTGCCACTGTTGGCAGGGCTGCTCCCAGATACCCCCGTTCTGTGAACCCTGGCTGACACACCTACCAGTGTGGCCCTCCCCACCAGAAGAGAAGTGAAAGCCCTCAGCCCTCAGCTCCTCCATGACCTCAGGGTCCTGACGGAGCTCAGACGAGCTACCTGCCCATTTCCCAGACCACTTTGAAGTTGTAGGATGAATTGTGGCTGGATCCCTGTCTTTGGCCACAGGCTGGGCCAGACCCAGAGGAGGGACTCTATACAATTCTCCCCCTGCATTCCTGGCTAGCAGGTCACAGTACTTATCCCAGGCTGGAGTAGATCATGATGAATGTGGGCTGGGTGACTGGGCCCCTTGGTGCCTTGAAGCACACTTAGGGCCAGTTACTGTCATACTTACTGTCGTATGTAACCTAATATAAGCTCTCTGTGTATATGTGTGGTTCTGAGGATGAATCCAGGGCCTCAGTCATGTCAGGCAAATAACCTACACTCAGCTGCACCCCAGCCTTTCTCTGTATCTTAAGGGGAGGTGAGAGTCCTGTTATCCCAAATCCCATGAAGCTGGAGGACATGCAGGCGGAGGCAGGGAGGTTATTATTTAAATAAACTCTTCCCCAGCACTGTCTTCTCTCTGCTGGGGTAGAGGAATGCAGACCCTAATTCCCCGGAAGCAGCTAGAACTGGGGCACAGGAAGGCTGTGCCAGGAATTGGGAGCAGGAGCCTTTCCCCCTTTGGGCCACCTAGGGCATGGAGGCCTTCTCTGACAGCCTGGGAGCCCCTAGTTTGTGTCACAGGGTGCTTGAGGACTGCTTCCTGTGTGGTGCTCGTGGGGGTGAGAAGGGGAGGAGCAGAAGGTAGGGGGCTGGTGGGCCGGCCGGGTGAGGACAGGGAGGATGGGGTGGGGAGCGCCTAGGATGTCCTTCGCACACACCTTCAGTGGGGTGCAGGGGCGCCTGGGGGGAGATGTCTGACGTCTGTGGGCCAGGCCCAGAGGTGTTGGATGGACAAGAGCACAAATCCAGGGCACAGGGGAGAGGGCAAGGATGGAAGCCCAAGAGGTTCAGTGAAGTGTGGTGGGGAAGGAGGCCCAGGGACCCCCTCCACAGGCCTGTGCACAAGTGGCCTTCTAGCCACCCTTCACTCCGCCCCCTCTGCCTGGGGTCCTTCCCATCCAGTCCCTTCCGCAGAGCTCTCCCCAGCCGCCAGCCAACCTCCCCAGTCAAATGGGACAGCAGGAGTCGGGTAAAACCAGCTTTGTTTGCACAGCATCTCAGCTGACAGGACAGAGGGGAGTGGCTACAGCCACGGCTAGAGGGGATGACATTGTTCTCTGCAGGGGTCTGAGGGAAAGGACACTACTCCTACTGCCTTGGCCTCCTCTAACCTCCTCTACCCAGCACTCCGCTTCGCCAGCCCACTGTAGGCAAAGCTCACTGCTATGTGGGCCCAATCTGGCTCCTCCAGGGTGAGACCTTGCATTTCCTGGACCCACCCAGTTCCTTAACAAATCCCCTCCTGCCCCTCTCAGAAGCCACCCGACACCAGGTTTGGGGCTCTGGGACGTAACTTGAGGTCACAGTGGCAAGATTCCCAGTCTTGACCTCATCAGGCCAAGCTCTGACAGGAGAGTGAGCCCAGAAAGCAGGCATCACAGGGAGAACAAGTAGGGCCAGGAGGGGAGGGTTCCAGCCAGGCTCCTACCAAGCCCCTGGGAGAGCAAAGTAGCCCAGAGCCCTGGGCGTAGGGAGGGTGTTACTTCTTCCCAAAGAATTCTTTCCTCTCCCTCCCTGCTTGGCTTCAGTGACCTCCTGGAATCCCACCCACACCCACTGCTTTCCAGCTCTTCTTCCCTGAAGCCCCCTGACCTCTGGTGGCTGGGAGGGGATTGGCCAATGCTGGAGCCTCTGCTCCACCTCACGGCTGTCACAGCTGAGCCAGTCTGGCCCAAGGATGCCCATCTGCCCGCATCCCCACAACGTCATCGAGGAAGCAGTTTCTTCCATAATTAGAAGTGCTGCTTGCCAAACTCTACCCTTCTTTCTGTCCAGTTCCAGTATGGTCACACTGGAAATTAATTTATGATTCTAACAGTCTGGACTGCAGTCAGAGAGGAAGCCCAAGGCCAGGACACTAGAGGTAACACTAAGGCAGTGTCCTGAACATACTTTTACCAGACCAGGGATGGGAGCCACACATCCCTCTCTGCCTCCTGAAGTTCGCACTGGCTTGAAAGGCCGGGGAGCCTCGAACAGACTCACCTTCCCAGATGGACCGGCTCAGTGCCATCACCAGCCTGGAAGTGGCTCGTTACCGACTGTCCCACAGAGTGCAGCAAAGCCCCTCGCCTGATCCAGAAGATAACTGCAGCAGGCAGTGACGTGAGCCTCCAGGCAGGCTGACACGGGCCGCCCACATCTGAAACCACGAGCATCTCACAGAGCTGCTCTCTTTGGCAGAGCTGAGAAGCGCCTGGCATAACACATCTCCAGCCAGGGAATGCTGAGGTGGGAAGAATTCGTGTGACACTGAGTTGTTGAACATGATTTGTGACTTGTTTCTGTACTGGCAGATGCGTGTCTGCTGTGCTCCTGAAAAATCCCACTGAGATGGCAAGCCTAGATTGTAGTGAGTGCAAGGCCAGCCTGAATTACCTCACAAGACCCTGTGTCAAGAACTAGACCAGGAGATCCTGGCCAGGTGCGCATCAGAGGGCAGGGTAGATGTTCACCATAAATGTAGTGCAAACTCTGTTGCTGTCAGCAACAGCTGTCAGCACAGCTCAGCTGTGACAGCCACGAGGTGGAGCAGAGGCCCCAGCGTTGGCCAATCCCCTCCCAGCCACTAGAGCTCAGGGGGCTTCAGGGAAGAAAAGCTGGAAAGCAGAGCCATGGATATAGCTCAGTGGTACAAGCGCCTGCCTGGCAAGTGTGAGGTCGTGAGTTTGATTCCTGGTACTGGAAAAAAATAAATAAATTTTTAAAAAAATAATAAAAGCCATGTAGAAGGGCATGTTTGAAATAGTAATTCTCAGCTGGACGTGGTGGCGCACACCTGTAATCCCAGCACTCGGGAGGCTGAGGCTGGAGGGTCACAGTAAGTTCAAGGTCAGGCTGGGCTCCATAGTGAGTTCAAGGCCAGCCTGAACTACAAAGAAAGACCTTGTCTCAGAAAGAAAGAAAGAAAGAGGAGTCCTCTTTTCTCTTGCCTCGGAGGTAGCCTTTTGTGAATAATTAGGCACAAATCTTTGCAGACACCTTCTAAATTCATCCAAGTGCACATTTTAACAGAATCATACTATGCTGTCTGCTTTGCGATCTCTTGTACCTCTGGCTATTTCCATCACTTTTCTAGTCGGCACATACCTGTGCCTTTGACAATAGTATTTCCCATGGTTTAATAATCCCTGCAATGGTCAGGTGTTGTGGCGCATGTTGTGGCCAACACTCAGGAGGCTGGGGCAGGAGGATCATCATGAGTTCAAGGCAAGCCTAGATTGTAGTGAGTGCAAGGCCAGCCTGAATTACCTCACAAGACCCTGTGTCAAAAAACAAAACAAAACATCCCTGCAGTGGACATCTGGATTGTTGCCTGTATTAGATATAGTGAACAGTTCTGGGCCTGAATGTTTATTTATTTTATTTTATTTTTTTGTAAGAAAATGGTTTTATTCCTAATTTTTAGTTCCATACAGTTTACAAATACACTTTTACTCTGATAATATAGCTTTGCAACTAGCAAAGCAGTTGAACTAACACCCATAAATACAGGTGGGGAAACAACAACCACTAATATTTCTCTACATGAACTATTCTTTTAATGTCATTTTCTATAAAAACACAATTGCAAAGAGACTACATAATATCCGCGGGCAAAAGGCAATTAAGTGAATCTCTTGAAACACTACATGTATATTAAACAGCATATTACCAACATTTATATGATTCACATCAAAATGATGACATCCTAAAATGTATTCCTTGTAAAGGATAGGTTTATCAATAAAATATTACATATCTTCTAATACTCTGGTACAATACTTCATACACTGCAGGAAAATTAAATGTAGGTCTAGTCATCAGCTTAATAAAGGGTCCTTTTCCATTAGCTTTTATTAGTGAAAGAATCACAATTAGGCCTGAACCTTTAATCAATGGATTGAGTACTCCTACATGAAAAACTGCTAGCAGCAGAACTGTGGGGTCTCAACTTTGGCATTTTACAGCATTGGTAGATACTGCCAAGTGGCTTACAAAAATGTTACACCAACTGCTCTTCCCACCTGCAATGTGAAAATGCCTATAACCCTTACCAAGAATAAACATCAATCTTTAATCTCTGCCAGTTTGATAGGCAAAGATATTTCAAAGCTTTTCTATTTTTATACATCCTAAATAATCAGTCAGGAGAAATATCTTAGCACTCAAGAGGCTGAGGCAGGTGGCTCACTGTGATTTCAAGGCCAGCCTGGGCTACAAAGTAAGTTCAAGGCCAGTCTGAATTGCATAGTGAAACCCTGTCTCAAAAAGATAAAAAAAAAAAAAAGCATCTTCTCATGTATGTATTGGCCATGTTCTTTGGGGTAACAAGTTCATTTCTCAGCATATATATGTGTAGCTCAGTCTGACCTTGAACTCACCAGCAATCCTCCTGCTTCAGCCTCTTGAGTGCTGGGATTAGAGGTGTGCGCTACCACACCCAGCTCTAAAATTTAAACTTTAATGAACATTACCCTCATCTAATTTATTATAAGCATATACTTTTCTATTCACTGAAGACATCGCTTCTCTAGTATCCTTACTAAAGAGGGCCTCCTTCTTTTCGTCTGGGTTCTTTTCCTCTCCCTGAAGCCTTAATTTACTAACTCAAGACCAGCAGGCCACACCACCCATAGCATGACACCAGAAGTGAGGACCACAGGACTGAATAGGAAGTAAAAAAATCCTGTAAAAAGGAGAGCCCCAAATTCTGTATCTAAAGTCTATCTAGGGGCTGGGGATTTAGCTCAGCAGCACAGCACCTGCCTGGCGAGCGCAAGGTGGTGAGTTCAATTCCCGGTACCAGAAAAACAAAACAAAAAAATAAAGTCTATCTAAATCTCCTGGGCACAGTGCATCTCAAAAAGTCAAGAAAAATCTAAAAAAGTAGCCTACCCAAATATAGCCTCTGAATGACTCATGAACTACAAATGAGTGCATGACAACTTCAAGTCGCCCAGCTAAGGTTAAAAAAAAAAACAACCACCAGAAGTTTCAGCAGCTGCCCAACTCAAAGACACAGCTGGGAGTCTGCTAAAATAATGAACAAAGAAGTCAACACTCTCCAGAGAAACACTGCAGCACCCAGTCTCAACAATGTTTATCACTCTCAGTCTCCAAGATAAATACAAATTAGACATACGAAGAATTAGAACTATGGGCTGGGGATATAGCTCAGTGGCATAAGCGCCTGTCTGGCAAGCCCAAGGTCATGAGTTCGATCCCAGGTACTGCAAAAAAAAAAAAAAGAAACACAACTATGTGACCCATACTCAAGAAGAATGGCAGCAGAGACTTGTCTCCCACAACCAAGTTGTTGGAAATTGAAAAGGGTTTTGTTGTTCTTGAGACAGGGTCTCACTGTGCAGTTCAGGCTGGCCTTGAAGTCACTATGTAACCCAGGCTGGCCTAAACTTTCAAAGATCCTCCTGCTCCAGCCCTCTGAATGCCAGGATTACAAGTATGCACCACCATACCCAGAAGAAATAGAAACAGTTTTAAAGAATTTACTCTAACTATGCTAAAGGAAAATATACTCCCAATGAATATGAACTATCAGCAGAAAAATAGAAACCTTAAAAAAATTAGCCAGAAGGAAAGTAAGTGAAAAATACATTTTAAATAAAAGTAATAAATCACAGCACTGCATGAAACAAAATGAAACACTGACTATACCAAATCCCCCAAAGAAGGCAGGCAGTCAAGGTTTGACTGGTTGTCAAAGAAAACCACATCTGAAAACACTCAGGAGAGGATGTCTGCAAGAGCCAGCCCCGGCCCCTCCCTGGGCAGCAGGAGCCAAGTGGAGAGAGTCTTAGAGGGCAGTCAGGGTTGGTCGGAGTCCTACATACGCAGCAGCCAAGCAGGCCAGCTCACTCCACCCTAACCCCGCACCTGCACACCCAGGAAGCCACCCACAGACTGGCTGCTTAGACCAACATCAGTGCCGCTTCCCACTGAGAATGGATTCTCTGTCCTTGTGGCCCTTTCCTACCCTTCCACTTCTGGTTTGTTTTTTTTGGTCTTTTTTGAGACAGGGTTTCGCTATGCAGTTCAGGCTGGGCTTGAGCTCACTTTGTAGCCCAGGCTAGTCTCAAACTCGCAACAATCCTCCTGCCTCAGCCTCCCAAGTGCTGGGATTACAGACGTGTGCCACCAAGCCCAGCTACCCTTCCACTTTTGGACCAGAGCCTTCTTTCTCAGTGCACTTTTGGGGTCCAGGTTGAGCGCCCCCAGAGAGTTGAGTCCCTAACAGCCACCACCAGGCAGCCTGTGACTGCAAAGTGATATGCTCAAAGGCACTGTCTTCACTGAAGTTTGTGTTGAAGACAGTAAACATGTTAACATCAATTCTGAGAAATCCAAATTTATTTTCAGTTGTCCCAAAGAAGTGATACTTCTTTTATTTTTTATTTATTTATTCTTGTACTGGGAATCAAACTCACAATCTCACACTTGCCGGGCAGGTGCTATGCCACTGAGCTATATCCCCAGCCAAAGTGATACTTTTAGACATTTAAATGAAATTAACCTCCTTCACTGTACTGATCCAAACGATTCTAAGCATAAAAGAATGGAAGATCAATTTTCTGTTGTTGACAGAAAGGAGGATCTGGCCAGCCAGGGCCTAGGTCAGTGGTGACAAACATCTGGCTGTTCATAGTCACTGGAAGCTCTAAGAGGTTTGCCATCACTGGCCTAGGTTAACAAAAGAGCAAAGCTTAATTGGCTTAGTGGGATTTCAATACTGGAAGAGGAGGACTGACTCCATGAAGACACACATAATTTTGATCATTTCTGAGATGATGAACAGCCTGGGTGGTAATAAACATGTATAGCAATCAGAAGCAGATGGAGCAGATGACGATTTACAAGACAGTGATGACGAGAAAAACACCAGATCAGGAATACAGTACATTGTCATCACCTGGATTTTGAGGAATAAAATAGTTCCTACGTTCCCCGAATGCATGCTTAGAGTTTAAAGCAGAATCTGCAAGGCAACAGTCAGCAGAACTAAAAGCAGTTTGTTCTCAGAGATGTTTGCTTTGGCCATTGTGTCCCCTCCGCCCCATAAGATTGACATGTGTCGTTTGACAAACCATCCCTTTCCAGCCCTGTCCCAACAAACACTCCTATATAATATGTATGCTGCAAATGCTTTCCTTCTTTTTTTTTTTTTTTTTTTTTTTTGGTCTTTTTGAGACAGGGTCTCACTATGCAGTTCAGGCTGGCCTTGAGCTCACTTTGTAGCCCAGGCTGGCCTCAAACTCTCAGTGATCCTCCTGCCTCAGCCTCCCGAGTGCTGGGATTACAGGCATGTGCCACCACGCCTGGCTCCTTCTACATCTTTATTCTCATGTTTTCATGTCACTGAGTTACAAATAAATAACCACAGAGGTCTCACCTCATCACTGTTTTCCTGAGACTTTGGAACCAGCTCCTTTGGGTCTTCTCAGTGACTGAACTAAGTCTTGCTAACTTGCTAAATAATCTTTCTCATCCTGTACCCAGCCACAGTCACACATTGTGACAGGGCGCAATTAAGTCAGCTAAGGCAGTATCTTTTTGTATGAACACTTCTCAGACTTCCGTGAAGTTGTAGAGGTCAGAGGCAATCGATACAGCAGCTATGATGAATAAGAACATTTCACCTAAGTCTCCTTTACTTCATAACACAGTTACTGACAAGACAGGAAACGCTCAGCTTAGGAAAAGGTAACTAAATTTTAGACATTATTCGGCCCTTAAGCTTTTACAGCTCTCAGGATGGAAGAAGGAAACTGTACGTTGTTACTTTAGACTGTACTTTTAGGTCAGGTTTGGGTTTGCACTGCCAGTATGACAAATGAATAAAAAAAGAAATGTTAATCTACAATTGGATTTTTTATTTTTATTTTTTATTCAGTTTATACACTGGCTAAAAAACCCCAATTTATGTTCGTAACAGTGGGGATTCTTTTCAATGTCTCTGTTCCAATAAACTGCTGGAAGGGGGCTGGGGATTTAGCTCAGCGGCAAAAGCGCTTGCCTGGCAAGCGCAAGGTCGTGAGTTCGATTCCTGGTACCGGAAGAAAAACAAAAACAAAAACCAAAAACCAATAAACTGCTGGAAGGCAAGAAGGAAAAGAAAATGCACTAACAGGACACCCTGCCTGACACTCCACCCTTCTCCCACATAGAGATCCATGGGAAACAACATCCGGCCAGGGTGGCACATGCCCGTCATCCCAGCTACTTGATAGGCTGAAGCAGGATGGCAGGTTCACAGCCACCTGTGCAACTTAGCATGACCTTGCCTCAAAGCTTGAAGAGGAATGCTGAAATGTAGCTCAGTGCTCACTGGCTTCAATCTCCAGTGCCACACTTTTAAGGGGGGGCGCAAAAAAAGAAAAAGATGGAAACAGACAACATCCACAGAAGAAAAACCACCAAAGAGCACACAAACAGCTGCAGGGAGTGGTGGTGGTGGTGGTGTTTTGGCTTTTCTGGGTTTCATTTCATTTGGGTTTTGTTCTGTTTGATTTGCAGTACTGGGGATTGACCGAAGGGGGCACTGAGCTACAGCTGCACTTCACCTGCTTTTTCATCTTACCAGGCTCTCACTAAGTTGCCCAGCTGGCCTTGAACTTGCACTCCTCCTGCCTTGGTCTCCTAAAAAGCTGGGGTTATGGGAATATGCCACTGACCCTGGCTAGAGTTGTCTTTAATAAATATTTTCTATTGTGCTAAAATACTCACAACATAAAATTTAGCATCGTGACCATCATATTCTTTTCCTTTTTTTTTGGTACCAGGAATTGAACTCAGGACCTTAAGCTTGCCAGGCAGGCACTTATGCTGCTGGGCTACATCCCTGGCCCACTGACCATCGTATTCTTGTGCAAACATCACCACCACCCATCCATCTCTAGAATCCTTCTTGTCTTGCAAAATTAAAACCACATACCTGCTAAGATACCTCATCATGCCCTCTTCACCCAACCTGACAAATACTTCCCCTTTGTCTCTGTGAACTTCAGTACTCCAGTACTCCAGTACACTTCAGATTCCTCGTATTGCTGAAATCACCCATTTTATGATTGGATTATTTACACACAGCCACCTCTGTTCTCTTCTGGCTACTACAGGGCATGTCTTTCCCATCCTGTTACTTTCATCCAATATTTGTCTTTAGGTGTAAAGTGAGTTTCCTGTAAGTAGTATATAGTTGTATTAGGCAGGTAATTAGATAGTAGCAAGCCTGAAGGACAAAGGGGATCGAAACAATAGGCTTTGCTAATGACGGGTAAATAAAGAAACAGAAATCAAGACCTCAGGGTCTAATAATTTATAATCACCTATTAGGTCTCAGAGCAAAACTATCCCCGCACAGCACAATGAAACCTTTAGGTCAGAGGTGTGCACAGCTGCACTGCACCGTCAGCCAAGATTTCAGGGTCTTTGACTCATACCGGAACAGCCGGACCTTCAGCATTCCTAGTTGCTATGGCCAATACCCACTGACAACACAAAAGTACAAAAGTAACATTTCAAGGTGGTTTATACTAAATTACCTAGACTAAACATTTTCTTATTTAGGTTACTTTTAAAAATATGATTAGCGGGGCTGGGGATTTAGCTCAGCGGCAAAAGAGCCTGCCTGGCAAGCGCAAGGTCGTGAGTTTGGTTCCCGGTACCGGAGAAAAACAAAAAAACAAAAAAACAACAACAACAAAAAATATGATTAGCAAGGTGTGGGGATGCATGCCTGTAATTCCAGCACTCAGGAGGCTGAGGCAGGAGGATTGTTGCAAATTTGAGACCATCCTGGGATACAAAATGAGCTCAAGGCCAGCCTGAACTGCATAGCGTGACCCTGTCGCAAAAAGACAAAAAAAAAAACACAAGAAAATATTAAATGGAAAATCCCAAAAACAATTCATGCATCATTTTTGTTGTTATTATTTATCTTAGAATAGGGTCTCTTTCCAAGTTTCCCAGGCTGACCTTAAACTTGGGATTCTCTTGCCTCACCCTCTCATGTCACTGGAGTTACAGGAATGTGCCACCATTCCCAGCACAATTCGTAAGTTTTAAATTACACAGTTTGAGTTGTTTTTTTTTTTTTTGGTGCCAGGAACTGAACTCGGGACCTCACACTTGCCAGGCAGGAGTTTGTGCCACTGAGCTATACCCCTGGGCCCAGACTGTTTGAGTTGTGTGATGAAATCTCACGGTGTCCCCCACATCCTGCCTGGGATGTGAATGTTCTCTGTCCAGAATATCATGTTTTATGTTATTCTCACCTGCTAGTCACTCAGTGGCCATCTCAGTTATCAGATCAACTGTCTTTTGTGTCCCTGTGCTTGTGTTCAAGCGACCCCTATTTTACTTAATAAGAGTCTCAAAGCCCAAGAGTATTAATGCCAGCTGGGCATGATGGGCACTCCTATAATTCTAGCCAGCTGGGAGGCTAACACTGAAAGACTGCAAGTTTGAGCCTCACCCAGGCAACTTAGTGAGACCTGTCTCAAAATTTAAAAAGGGCGGGGTGTATATAGCTCAGTGCTAGTGTTTCTGGGTTCTGTCCCCAGGACTTAAAACAACAACAATGAAACAACAGTGTTAGACTTCATTTTTTATTAAATATTCAGAATAAATTTTGATTAAATAAGTTAAATATTTAGGGGTATCTAATGAGCTACACTGTACAAACTGTTGGATGGTGGTAAAAAAAAAAAAAAAAGTCAATTGCCCAGTAAATGTAAAATATGAGAGAAAAAGGACTTTAAACTGAGTATACTTCCTTTCAGGTCTCTTCCCCACACACAAACTCCCTGGACATTAATGATTTCACTCACCCTAACTGGCAGATGGGCTACATTTCCTGACACATTGGTCTTCCCCGCAAAAAAGATCAGCTTCTCACTATACCGATAAAGACCCCCCAGGACACACACTTCACACTCCCAGCAGGTACTGAAGCAGCTCTACCAGCCTAATCCCTCCAGCGGTGTCCGCACTGGGCATTGCAGCACTTGTAGAAGGTGGTCATCGGCTCATCTGCAGAGCGAGTCTGAAGCTGCATGAAGTAGGCACGAGGATGTTCGCATTTGGGACATGGTTCTGGAAACAAGAAACAGCAAATGACCCACATGACACAAAAGTGACGCTTGTGAGGAACACCCCTCAGGAGAAGGTGAAGACTGACTTGCGCATCTGGTCTCCCTGCGCAGGAGTAAGTCCAGTGACATCATCCTTTCATGCACTCACCTTGAGGAAGTCAAGGAGTCCTGCCACGTTTAAAATGCTCTCCTCCCCTCCCTGGGCCTCACTTTTCTTTCAAATTTGATTGAAGACGGATGGAACCATAACATAGATGGTGACCATCTCAATCTTTTTTGTGCTACTGTAACAATATACTTGACATGGGGCTATAGGTAGAGGCTGGAACAGTTTTCTTTCCTTTTTTTTTTCTTTTTTTGAGATAGGGTCTTGCAATAGTCCCAGACTGCCCTTAAATTTGGAGATCAGCCTTCCAAGTAGCTAGGAACCACAGGTACATACCACCCTGAGTCCCAGCTAAAACTAGAATAGTTATGTTTTTTGTTTCATTGTGTTTTTGAGACAAGGTCTCACTATATAGCTCAGGCTGGCCTTGAACTCACTATGTAGTCCGTGCTGGCCTTGAACTCACGGTGATCCTCCTCCCTCAACCTCCCAAGTGCTAGGACTACAAGCATGCACCACCATGCCCAGCTACTAGACTAGGTTTGAAGTGAATGCTGGAAAAGTTTGTTACTGTGAATGCAGTATTAGGTTTCTGGGAAGGACTCAAAACCAAAGAGCGGTAAGGAAAGCTGTTTCTTCCTGGAGATTGGTTAAATGTTTCTAAACAAAATACTGCAGAAATAGACCATTCTGAGGAGGTCTTAAAGGAATGAGTACCCTGTTGGAAACTGGAGGAAAAACCCCACCCAGGGATTTTGTAGAAGGTAGAACTGAAGAGGACTGGGGCCCTGTGTACCCTGCAGCTCACGGCCCAGGGCTGCTGCAGGTCTCCGTTCCCTGCATTCCCGCAGCCTTCTCCACCTGACCCTCCGGCTATCCCCTCGATCTTTGACTTCTTCCCAGCCTCCAGAACTTCATACATTATCCAGTGCATGGTACTCTGTTAGAGCACCACAAAAAGACTAAGATAGTAACTCATGGATGGTGTTTATTTTGGGGTCAACACCAGGTAGAATCTCCCCAATAAGGGTATCACAGCTTTCTAAACAATGGACATATGGCAGGCGTCTCATCTTCCCAATGGATGGCTATGTCCAGGGAATCATTTTAGCAACAGCTTCTCCAGCTGCTTTAACACAGTAGATTTATTTGTTTAACTAACTTTTTAGCATAGATTTATATGTTCTTCTATAGGAGGAAAAGACAGCACTAATCATGAGTTAAACATTCCCCCTCTCAAAACAGGTTATATTCTAATCAAAGTAAATTGTATTTGTTTTTGTTTTGAGGCAGTGTCGCGCTGTATAGTTCAGGCTGGGTTTGAATTCACTATGTAGTCCAGGTTGGCCTCAAACTCACAGCAATCCTCCTGCCTCAGCCTCCCTGAGTGCTGGGATTATAGGCATGCACCACCATACCCAGCAAAATAAATGTGTTTTTAAAAAGGCTAGTCCCTGGACATGGTGGCACACTCGTGTAATCCCAGCACTCAGGAAGCTGAGGCAGGAGGATCATTGCAAGTTTGAGACCAGCTTGGGCTACAAAATGAGCTCAAAGCCAGCCTGAACTGCACAGTGAGACCTTGTCTCAAAAAGACAAAAAAAAGAGGGAGGCTAGGTATGTAGCTCAGGAGTAGGCCACTTGCACAGCATGTGCAAGACCTTGGGCTCAATCCCCAGTACCAAAAGGGGGAGGGGAACAACCAGGTTATAAAGCACCCTTCTCTTTCCTTCCCTTTCACATCAAGACTTAAAATATACCAGGCGTGGTAGCACATGCCTATAATCCCAGCACTCAGGAGACTGAAGTAGGAGGATCCCCAAGAGTTTGAGGCTAGCCTGGACAATATAGTGAGTTCAAGGCCAGCCTGGACTACATAGTGAGACCCTGTCTCAAAAAAACAAAACAAAATATAAAAAATAATTTCTTTTATCCCACCTACACTTTAATCCTTCCTGGTACTAACATTCTAAAGTCCGTATTAGAATAAAAATACTTTTTTGTTTCTCCAGTCTCTGGTCACTGTTGCTGTCATCCAAGCTGTCACCTGTGGCGTGTAGACCAATAACTGTGCAACTCACTTCTAGCTCGCACAAGCTACATGGATGGCTTAATCAGTGATTTCCTTTTCTTTCTTTCTTTCTGTGTTTTTTTTGTTGTTGTTGTTTGTTTGTTGAGACAGGGTCTTGCTATGCAGTTCAGGCTGGCCTTGAAATCACAAGGGTCTTCCTACCTCGTGAGTGCTGGGATTACAGGCATGCACAACCATGCCTGGCTCTTAGCCGGAGATTTCAAGGGAAGGCTGGGGATTTAGCTCAGTGGCACAGTGCCTGCCTGGCAAGCGGGAGGTTGTGAGTTCGATTCCCAGTACCGGAAAAAAAAAACAAAACAACAAAAAAAGATTTCTGTTGGACTGGGCATTTAACTCAGCGGCACAGTGCCTGCCTGGCAAGTGTGAGGTCATGAGTTCGATTCTCGGTAATGGAAAAAAACAAACAAGAGATTTCAAGGTATACAACCAAGGGCCTATAACAAGAGGTTACTCGGAGAATCTAACTCCAAAGCTTATACCCATGTTGTTTGTGTAACAAATTTTAAATAATAAACTAAAGAAAAATGCATTTCCTGTTTTTAGAAGCCTACATCATACAAACAGATCAGGCTCTGACATACAGTGACACAGTCAACACCACAGTTGTCCACAGCTTGGCAGTGGAAAAAGTCTTCCCTCTCACCTGCAGTAGAGTCAACATTCTCCCAGGCTGCTGATCCTCCAAGCACATCATCCACTTCTTTCAGCTTTGGATACTTCCGGTTGGTTACCTAACAAAAACAAACCTTCAGACTCCAAGACAGGGAGCAGTTCAGGCATAAACCACCAAACCACAACTGCCCCCAAATGTCCCTTCAACTTCCCTTCACAAGAAGCAAAGAGATGACAAATGCACAAAGTTCCTACTCTCAGAGGAGCAACACACCACGGAAATGTGGAAGTCCCACTGGGATGTTCCCCAAGCGGAAGAAACAGGTTCAGCTATCAGACGCCTTTGTAAAGACTGGAAGAAGCACCAGAAGAGGAGGGGGAAATCAGCTTAGATGTGAGCTGCTCTTCTCCCCTACCTCTAAGACATTTGATAACCCAAGATGAAAGAAGCAAAAACAAGGGAAGCCAATCAGTACCACTTTGCTGGGTAGCCCAGGCACTACTCCCAGGAAGAGAATTTCAAAGCAGGGGGCTGGGGATTTAGCTCAGCGGCAAAGCGCCTGCCTGGCAAGCGCAAAGTCGTGAGTTCGGTTCCTGGTACCGGAGAAAAACAAAAAAAAAAAAAACAAAGCAGGTCACACTTGGTTTCTTTCTCAAATTTTATCAAGCATTCCTGAAATGTCAAGATTACATAAAAGCTCATAATCATACTCTAGAACCACACAGTCGTAAAGGTACAGTACGTAAACGTTAAGAGTGAGGGAGCAGCAATATGTCCTAACTTCTACAAAGCAAAGTTGGATTATAAGGGAAACTTACAAGCTATATATAGTGCAGTGTGCATCATTCACACCTACACCTACCATTTTCTAAATTCCATTCTAGGCGTTGAGCAAACAAAAACAAAAGAAATCTCTGCCCTCCTAAGCTTATATCCTAATACTAATAAACAAGGTATACAAGCTACTGAATATATTAAAAAGTAATGAATCCCACGGGGGAAAAAAAAAAAGGAGGAAAGATAATAAACGGGAGGGAGGGGCTACAATTTTAAACAGGGCAATCACCTAAGTGGGACAAGACCAATGAGCAACGTGACTATCTAGGCTGGAAAGTAAACATGCGCAAAGCCCTAGCAGGACCATATGTACGATGGGAGCGCCTCTAGCAGGCCAATTTGAATGGGGCTGGGACAAAAGAGCAAGAGGAAGCACACTGGGACCTGAAATCAGAGAAGCAGCGTGGGAAGCGGGCCCGGAAAGCCCTGGGGAACTGCTCTACGTTTCCAAGCAGAGTTCGGACTCCGACGAGGCTCTAACATGATCACCTCCTACAGCGGTTAGGAATCCCGCGGCACGGGAGCGCAGGGCCCGACGGGAAGGTCCCCGGTGATCCAGGGGTGGCCGCGGCCGAGCCAGGGCGACAACACCGAGGAAAAAATGGCTGGACTACAGGAGGGTCCAAATGAGGAGTGCCCAGCGCCCACAGCCGAAGGACTAGTGAGCGCGCGCACAGAGGCCGACTCGGGACCGCGGGGGAGGGGGCGGCGGCGGAAGCAGAGCCGCGCGGGCCGCCGGGTCCTACCTTGCGGGTGATGTTGTGCACGTAAGGGCAGGTGTTGCAGGCAAAGCGGTGACAGCGCTGTCCCTCCTCCACGATCAGCCCGTTCCCACAACCGGGGCAGAAGAGCAGCATGGCTAGCACTCCACTGCGTCCCACGCCGGCTTCTCACGTTGACAGCACCCACTCCCACAACTCCCTCACCATCCGCACGCTCCCAGCCAGCCTTGCGGCAGGAGCTCTCGTATTTCTCATTGGTCATTGCTGCCGCCCGCCCCTCAGCGAGCCAATGGCTGGGCTGCCTCGCTGGGGCGGGCTCAGTGTCTGCGCGTGCGCACTCTGATTCCCCAGCAGGACGGACTGGGCCGGGAAACAGGAGACCGTGGAGGACTCCGAGACCGCGCGCGGACCGGAGGCTCTGGAGGACGATGAGGATGAAGAGGAGACGCTGCCGCACTCCGAGGCCGTGGACGTGTTCCAGGAGGGTCTCGCCATGGTGGTCCAGGACCCGCTGCTCTGCGACCTACCGATCCAGGTACGCGGACTGCGGGATCGAAGAAGGCGCCTCGGGGCAGGGCGGGGACTCTAGAAGCCCCTTGCCCGGGTAAACGGCGTTCGCACCCTAGAGCCTCCCAAGTATTGAGATTACAGGACTGACCCGCCCAGCTGACTTCCCCCCACACGCACCCGGTGCTGGGGGTTGCGTAGCTGTGTTCCCTGCTTAAATGTTTTATTAAAGCTTTTTTTTTTTTTTTAAATCATTACTTTGGAAGCCTGGCTTGGATCCCAGGAATCGGAGGGAGAACTGACAGCCCCCACGTTCTTCCCCAGAAGCATGCGGGTTCATCCTCCCCAACTGTTTCTATGCCCTTCTTTCCAGTCTCTGTACTCTGAGTATTATATATAAACATGTGGAGGGTTAGGATGTAGCTCAGTGGTACAGCACTTGTCTAACACAGGTGCAGACCTGAAATCTATCCTCAGTATGCCTAAAACAAATTAATAGAAATGGATGGAAGCTGGGTGTGGTGGCATAAGCCTGTAATCCCAGCACTCGCCTGTAATCCCAGCCCTCGGGGGGCTGAGGCACGAGGATTATTTCGAGTTCAAAACCAGCCTGGGCTATAAAGTGAGCTCAAAGCCAGCCTGAACTGCATAGCGAGACCCCATCTCAAAAAGACCGAAAAAAAAAGGATGGAATGTGAGATGGGGTGGAGTACTGAGAAACAGAAAACCATAATGTTTAGGTAACAGCTCGTTCTTCTTGCCTTTCATAAAATGATGCATCACTTTTTGCTCGCTATCAGCATGTTTTTCTTTGCCCTTTTTGGTGCTAGAGGGCCAGGGTTCCTGCCTCAACCTTTGGTCTTTTCTAGGTTACTTTGGAAGAGGTCAACTCGCAGATAGCACTAGAATATGGCCAAGCCATGACAGTCCGAGTGTGCAAGATGGATGGGGAAGTAATGCGTGAGTGCTGTCCTCCTCCCTTTACCCCTGACCTTGCACCAGGACAAGATGTTACCAGAGCTAATCAGTGAGAAACTCAGGGGCCATGCCCAGGGATACTGGGACAACCACGGGCCCATCCTGACCAACAGAGCAGAGCCAGATAAGTTCTAGATTCCTGTCCTGCTGTCAGAGGCTCTGGCTGTGGATTCCCACATGGGTCTTCTCCCACTTGTGTCCATTCATGGTTGCAGCTGTGGTCGTAGTGCAGAATGCCACGGTGCTGGACTTGAAGAAGGCCATTCAGAGATATGTGCAACTTAAGCAGGAGCGTGAAGGGGGCATTCAACACATCAGCTGGTAAGTGGAGGAGTGGCTCCTTCATTCTACCCCTTCCTGGGGCTGGTGTGGGGCTTCCGAGGGAAGCTGCTCCATATGTGCATAGCACCAGTACTCTGCTGTGGAGTAGTGGCTGCAGTGATGAGTCGTGAGACCGTGCAGAGGGGCCTGAGGGTTTCTGTGCCCAGAGCTCCTACCTCCACTGTTGTTTCTACATTCATTCTGTCATCAGCTTCACTACACCTACACTGCTGGATTCTTCACTTGGGGGCACCTTTGGCCGTTAGTATGTCTGGAAGTGGTCTCCCTAGTTAGGAAGTATCCTTTCAGCCGAGTCAGTACCGTCACCTGTTTGATCAGCCCAGCCATCCACACAGTACCTCCTGGCAGCTGCCATAGTCCTGGTGTGTACATTGTACAGGAGAAAAGCCCAGCTGCTCTTGGCCCCATAGGCCTGTGTACCTCAACCCCTCATCCCTACTGCTCAGCCTTCCCCCCACTTCAGGTAGAAGGTGGTTTACCTGAGCCTCTCTTGCAGGTCCTATGTGTGGAGGACGTACCATCTGACCTCTGCGGGAGAGAAACTCACAGAGGACAAGAAAAAGCTCCGAGAGTAAGTTCAGGCCATGAACTCTAGAGGGGCATGTAGTCTGTTGCCCTCTAGTGCCCCATACTCTGCCAGAGGGTACAGCAGGAATATCCCTGACAGCACTAAATCGCTCCCACAAGGAGCTCCCGTGGGGCTCTCATAGGTAGAGGAGCAGCTCCAGGGCCCAGGCTGATTCTCACAATGTCAGAGAGGGAAACCAGAGCAGGCATGAGGTAAAGGCTGCTTCTGGTATATTATGGCCAGGATGGGCGGATATGCACCCCACCTCATGGCTTCCTTCAGTACCCCCCGCACCCTCACCTGTCCTTTCTCGGTCCTTCACAAGTCTCAGGTTGGGGAATCACAATCCTTCTGTGGATCAGACATTACCTTTCCTTTGTTTCCCCCCAGTTACGGTATCCGGAATCGGGATGAGGTGTCCTTCATCAAAAAGCTGAGGCAAAAGTGAACCTCAGTCAAAGACAACTTCATTCACTATGGTTGAGCTTTCCCCAGCAAGATGGATTCCCTCCAGCCATTGTCCTTCTCATAAAAAGGGTGTCAAGGTGACTGCATCCACAGTGTGCCCAGTGGAAACTGGCAGCATGAATCCTGGATCTCTGACGACCAGAACAGGGCAAGCCTCCGTTCCTGCTGTCCTGTGAACTTCACCTGACCTCTTCCTGGACTTAACAACCCTGGGCACAGGGCTGCAGGCCTGGCCTTATGTGCACAGTGAACCTGTTTGCTTCATATTTTGAAGTCAGAAAGCCACAGTACCCTGTATAGGAGGGTGTGGATTTGCCCCTCACAGAGGGGAGCTTACGGCAGAGAACTGGCACGGGTGAGCCTTAAGGTCCAAGAGACCACACCTGAGTCCTGTGTCCATACCACATGCCTGTTACCGTGATCTCCACTGCAAGGATTTGTAAATAAAATCTAAGCAGGTGTCTCCTGTTTATGCTTGTGAGAAAACAAGGGCCAATATCCTGGAGCCTGCGTTGGCAGTGAGCCTGTGACACGGGTGTACCTGGGCCTCCAGCCTCCACCCATCGGGCTCCCTACAGCGGCGTCTTGCCCAGCTCAGTGGAAAGGGAGGCAGCATGGGGAGGAAACAGGAGCTGCTGGGGACAAAGGTGGGGCGCTTCCCACGTGCAAATGGGGAAATGTGGCAGTACTTCCGCAGGGCCCTGTCCCAACGCTGTCTTATTAGAAGGGTGAGCGAGGTGCACCCACCTGGCTGCAGGCCTTCCCTCTAGAGGTAAGAGGGCCTATGGCTGCATTTGTCCTGGATTGGGGGTGGGGGCGGGGGCCAGGGCCTACAGAGCCTCCCTCCACTATCCCAGCTAGAAATCAGGAAGGAGGAGACAGCCCCAGTCAAGTTAGTGGCAGCTAAAACGCTCCCAGTCCATTTATTGGCCACATGCAGTGGTCGTCAAGGGACTAGTTAGAAGGTTATCATGGGAATTAGTGTAATAAATGCCCAGCAATATAAAGGGTTCAACAAAAATGAACAAGGCACAAGAGGTCTGTGTTTGGAAAACGCAAGTCCCCACATAGATCAGGCACAGTCCTGCACACCTGTGAGGCTAAGGGTGGTCACAGCCACCAGCGCCCACAGCTAGCTCAGTGGAGCTGAGCATCCAGCTCATACTTCTCACAGAACTTGTCGGTGAAGGGGATGCAGGTGAGGAACTCGCACCACTCACAGCGGACGGGATAGAAGTAGAAGAGGATCACCAGGCCAGCCAGCAGGCCCAGGAAGACTGCCTGGAAGATGATGATCTGGCAGCGTTTGCGGTACAGGTCAAACTTGCCGAAGCTGATGTAGGGCAGGAAGGCAAAGGAGAGGAAGAGGCCACTGATGAAGCCCGAGATGTGGGCAAAGTTGTCGATCCAGGGTAGCAGCCCAAAGGCGAAGAGGAAGAGCACCACAGCCAACAGCTTGAAGAAGGCACGCCAGGGCCGTGCCAGGATCTGCCAGCTCTGGAAGAGCTCCACGAAGAGGCAGGCCAGGATGCCAAACTGCGAACCGGCCGGGCCCACCTGGGGGCAGTGGCAGTGACAGCGGCTGTGAGCCAGCCAGGCCAGGCAGCCTCCCTAGGCTCAGTTTCATCTCATCCCCGCTCCCTGGGCCCAGAGCACGCTGGGACTGAGACCAGTGAAGATTCCCCCAGGCTGGCCACTCGTGCTCAATACAGACAGTTCATGCAGGGCCACAGGCATATAAGGAGGATCCCCACCCAGGGAGGCAGCCTTACCTCTGCCCTGTATGGCAGGAAGATGGCACTGGCCAGGTTGCCAGTGACACCACTCAGCAGATAGATGATGGCTATGCGGTGCCAGCCTGCCAGCTTTTCCAGGTCGCGCAGGACAGTCATCTGGAAGCAGACAGACACCAGGCAGTGCAGAATCCTGTGGGCAGTAGAAGGTGTAGGTTGGAAGCACTCAGCAGGGATAATGGCTTCACCGCCACCGGCCAACCACTCGTGGGCTCCCTGAGACCACCTGCCCAGCCCAGTTTCACTTGCCCAGCGTGCAGGAAGAGGGACAGCCATAGGCGGTAGAACTGGTCAGGCACCTCGGGGTTGAGGAAAGGCAGGAGACCACACACATCATCCATGCAGTGCACCTGTGCAGAGTGGCCAGTCAGTACCTGAAGTGATGGGGAGGAGGGAAGGGACATACCCTCAAAGCCTACCTGCGAGCAGAGTGTGGCTTCCTCGTGGAAGTAGCCTCTCATGAAGTCACAGTACTCCCGGGAGGTGATTTCACACCTGGAAGGTCAGGCCAAGGTTTGGAGGGTGACACCCTGCACTGGGGGACTGCTGGGGTCCAAGGGTGGAGGCATCTGCTCATACTACCCAGGCCAACACTTCTGACCCACATACCTACCCACTTACCTTTGTTGGCCCTTTCTCCGAAACCCTGTAGAACCTTGGGTTATTTCAGGACTTGCTGTTTTGTTGGGGGTGGTTACTGGGGATTACAGGGACACTTTACCACTGAGCTACACCCCTAGCCCTTTGCTGTTTTGGTTTTGGCAGTACTGCAGACTGAACCAGGGCCTTGAACATACTAGGCCAGCACTCTACCACTAAGCTGATTCTCAGTACTTTGATTTTGAGACAAGTTCTTATTAAGTTGCCCAGGCTGGCCTCAAGCTTTTGATGCTCCTGCTTTGGTCTCCTATAGAACTGAGATTATACATGTATGCCACCATGCAAGCTAAGACTTGGTAAGGGAAAAGCGTACAGTCTAGGACAATGATGTGTGCCCAGAGACACCTGCATTTGCACACCTACCTGCCTTTGGTGCCAATGCAGCAAGGCCGGCCCGTTATGACACAGTCCATGTGAGGATGATTGGTATGGTTCCCAGCACTGTTTTTGGTGCAGATCTAGGTCATAAATAAGGATGAGCTAGGTCACGGCTTCTCCCAGTTCTTGGCCCCACACCCAATTTACAGGCTGAGGCAGAGATGGGCAGTGTGATAGGGTAGAAGATGGGCCTTCCTTAACTTTAGCAGACTACCTTACCCTAAAGCCTCAGCCGGGCCATCTGTCAAGCTAGAAGACTATGGTCTGGCCTTCCAGATCTCTACCTAGATTTCTTGCCCTATTTGCCTGGAGAGGCAGGCCTTACTGGGCAAAAACCAGGAACATAGCATCTAAAAATGGGCAGGCCCATAATGGGAGTCTCTGGCATCACCAATGGGTGGAGTGTGACCTCCTACCCCATATGACAAGCATGACCCCCTAAGACTCCCCCCACTCCTCACCGGCCACTTGGTGATGTCTTCTGGCCACTCGTGGGGATCCTCAGAGGAGGGCTCATCACACACCCTGCATGAGCCCAGAACATGGTCAGAGCCTGCTCCAGCCCCTGGCATTGGCACCCTCCCACTCAGTCCACAAGGAGAGCACCTACACCCTTCAAGGAGATGTGGACAAGGCAGGTAAGAGAACAGCTGGCAGGACTGACCTGGGGTCTTGGTGGCAGACAGAGCCAAACTGCCTCTTGTGACCAGCAAGGTCTGGGGCGCTGGGATGCCTCGGCCATTTCACCCACACTGCCAGCGTGGACTGCAGAGACACAGGGTCAGCCCTGGTCAGAGGCCAGCCCTTGCCCAGTTCAGTCAGCACAGTGTGGGGGCTCAGAGTCAGGAGTCAAAGCAAAGCCACGGAGCTCCTCCTCTAACTTCACCACTTCACCCCTGAGTTTACACTCCTAAAACGCACTTGCAGTCAGGAGAGATTCTGTTACAAGGAGTTCAACAGCATAATTCCTATTAGTTTAAAAGCAGCTTCTATGTCCTAAATCAGGAAACGTGAACTATCCACCTCCGTATCAGATGATTAGAGCTCGAAAGGCAGTGCCGCTTATGTTAACTTTCAGAGGCACACACACAGACAAGATGGATGCCAAATCAAGACCAAATCAAAAAAGCAAATAATCATCTAAAGGAACCAGGGGCAGAAAAGGGCAATAGTGAGAAGTCATGACAGCCACAGGCAAGGCCTAATGTGGCAGGCAGGTATGATGCCAAAAGCCAGGATACCAAAAAAAAAGAAGGCCAGGATAGCTGGACATGGTGGTGCACACCTGCAATCAGGAGGCTGAGGCAGGAAGATTGCCACAATTTCAAGGCTAGCCTGCGCTACATAGTGAGTGCAAGGCCAGCCTGAACTACATAGTGATATGTAAATAAATAAAAGCAAGCAAGCCAGGGTAAAGTCTAGGGACACAGAGCCAAGGGCAGGAGCTGTGCAGACACACCGAGCACTCCTCCTCTGAGGTCTGCACGCAGCCAGACTGATCGTTGCGCACGCAGCAGGCGGAGTGCTTCTCCCGCTCACGGGCGGTGCTGATGAAGCTGTGCACCTGCGGGTCCTGGCGCATGCAGGGCGAGAACTTGGCACCCAGGTGAATGAGGGCCTCCTGTGGAGAGGGAGACAGCAGCTGGGGCCCCTGTCCCCCCAACCTACCCTGCCAGGCCCCGCCCTCAGCCCCCGCCCTCACCGAGCTGGGGCCGATCCAGAAGTTCTCCTGCTGCACGTACTTGACATTCTCGTAAACACCCCGGTTCCGCAACACCTGGGGGACATGCCACGATTAGACCAGGCTGAGCAGGCCTCTTCCTCCCGGAGCACGGCCTGAGGGGGCCGGGAGCGGGCGAGAGCTCACCGAGTCCACCGTCTCATGCTGCGAGAAGCCCACGGGCGCGATGCCATAGATGCACACGGCTAGAATGGTGACGAGCGAGTGCACGAAGGTGAGCCAGTAGGTGAAGAAGGGCCTGCAGGGCGGAGCGTTAGCGAGCGCATCCCCTGCCCCGCCGGAGCCCTCGCCCAGGAGCCTGTGTACCAGCCCCGGCCTCGCGCCCACCTGTGGTCGTCCATGTCCTCGATCTGGCGCTTGACGTAGCTGTCGATGCGCTTGCGGTAGGTACGGTTGGTGAGGCGCCCCACCATGCCCAGCCCATACGGCCGCTTCTCACGGGCAAAGAGCTTCCGCACGGGCACAGCGATGCGCTGGCCGCGTCGTGGTCCCGCGGGAGTCACCACCTCCTGTCGAAGCCGCACCTTGGGCTGTGGGGCCGCTGTGCCGCCCTCCTTTTGCTTCCGCCAGCCGCGCTCCAGGGGCCTAGGGGGAGCCGGCGCGTTCACCACCGCCCGGCTTGCGGAGATCCACCCCCAGCAGAGCAGAACACTGGTCAGTCTCTGTCCTGTCCCGGCTGTCGACACGGGGCAGGCCCCTTCCTTACCAGTAAAAAAGCAATGTGGCACCCTTCCCGGGACCCACAGGAGGTTCTGTACCTCAGCCATATGGACCAAGTCATGTTCCTCCTCCCACCTGGAGTGGTCCAGCCCCTGGGCTTTGGCATTTTCCAGGAGCATGCACAGTCCTGGGTTCCCAGTCCACCAGGAAACCCGCTCTGTCGCAAATGCAAGGGCATCACTCACTAGGGACCAGCAGCTCCTGGTAAGGCAAAGCTTATCCCTGCGAACCCCTGGCCTGCTGTCATACTCACAGCATCAAGTGGCTGCGCTCCAGCTCGCTCCGGTCCAGGGCCCCACCCGTGAGGTCAGCCTGCTCAGGGGCTTTCTCCCAGTCCTTGAGCGCTGCCTCTGATGGGGACTCAAACACTTCATCCGGGTACGTGGACAGCTCCTCGTGGAGGACACCTTCCTGAGCAAACATGTGAGGTCAGGATGGATACAGAGATGCGGGAGAAGGGGTGATACCCCAAGCTCTTCTTACCCGGGCAAAGAAGGATGTGTCCAGCTCATCAGGGAAGTCCACTGTGTCCTCCTCTAGGAAGCTGGCAGGGGTAAAGCTTCGGCGCTGTGCCCGGCGCAATGTGCCATCTCTAACAGAACGGCCCTACCGGCAAGGAGGCAACCTTGGGACCTGGCAGCTGACTGGGCCCCACCCTCACCCGTGGCCCCTGTACCCACCTTCATGAGTGCTGCGGCTGCCCGGAAGCTCATCTTGGCCACGGACTCGCGCTTGCGTCTCCGAGGGAGCCTGTTGAAACCTGAGCGGGAGCTGGAGAAGGAGCAGAGGGAGGCAGCACCTGGCGTGACAGGGGTGTGCGGAGCACTCAGGCCATCAGCAGCATCATCTGCCATGCGGAAGGCCCGGCCCCGGGCGAGAGGGTCTATGATCTGGCAGAGACAAGGAGGTGCTAGTCAGGGCTGGGAACATACCACGGGGGCTCCTAGCCCAGGCAGACCCATAGATGCCTCAAAGGGAGAGCTCAGCTGCTGCCTTCTCACGCTTTGGAGGCCCTGGACAGCTAGCTACACGGGCATCACCCCACCCACAGCACCTACAGGGATCCCTCTCCTTCGTGAGGGTCTCCTATCCAAAAGCTGGCCCCAGAGCAACCCCAGGACTCAGCCTCCCCATCCACTATGGTTCCTCTTCCCAGATTATCTGAGGTGCTTTCCTGGGACTGTCTGGCTGCCTGCCCAAACATGACTCCTGAGGACAGTCCTCTGCTCTGGCTGATGTCCCCAGTCCCAGCCCAGACAACAATGAGGGCCCTGCAAGAGTCAGCAGCAGCAGCGCACCTTCTGCATGCCCAGCTGGCATGGCCCCACATATAGTGGAGGTGGTGTCTCAGTACTGGTCAAAGACACATTGTCCTGGCTGGGTAGGTCCAGTTCCCGGATGACCTGAGGCTTCAGTTTCCCGTATCGCTGGCTGCAGTGACGGATGCTTTTGCGTTGCCACTTCTGGGTACTGTCACTGTCTTTGCTCACTCCGAACCAATCAGCTGTCCCCCTGACATGGGAGGGACTCAGTATGGGGTAGCCACATCTACTCCTCTCAGGCAGGGGGTCTCAGAGGGCAACCCCCAGCCAGCATGCTCTGCACCAGGCCTCCAGGCACTCCAGGGGCTAGGGGCTGGATTGGTATAATCTAATTACAAGGACAAGTGGGTTTCAGCTCTAACCCTCTCAAACAATAAGCCGACTCCAGTTCCCAATAGAGCACATCTTCTGACCTCAATCCAGGCAAGCCACACTCAGGTCCCCACCCTACCCGAGTCCAGAGGGGGAGCCTGGCTCCAGGCCGTGGCTGCAACCCAGGACACCAGAGAACTCAGCAGGTGCCACAGGCCCAGGCAGGGTGCCCACAGCCCTAGAACATGCAGAGAAACATGGCCAGCACCTGCCCTGAGGGGACCCCAGGAAATGCCAACCACTCTGGCAGCTCCAAGAGGCCACATGACATGCACACACCAAAAAACACCAACACATTCATGACCTGCCTGCGGTACCTGAGCAGGGACCAAGACAGAGACTGGCGCTGTGGGGAGGCCCTGCGGGCAGCCCGGGGACCTGGGAGGGGCAGGGTGTGAACTCGCCCAAAGCGTACCTGTCGGCTGTGAGGGGCCAGAGTGTTAGGGTGGGGGGAACAGAGGAGAGTGGGTTCGGAGGGAGCAAAGCGGGGTGAGGTGAGAGCAGTCAGCGCCCAGAACATGGAAACCCAGATAGAGGAGTGACCTGAGATAGGAGGGGCTCCTGCCCCATTCCCAGGACCAATACCCAAAAGGGGACCTGTGCGCTGCCTCCCCACGACCCAGTCCCTGACCCAACCTCCAGAATAGCCAGGGCGGTGCGGTCAGTACCTGCGGATGGTCTGTGTGATGGACGTCTGCCGCTGCAGCACAGGCCGCCGGGGCTCATGGTAGGGCGAAGGCACACGGGCTGACTCAGCGGGCATGCTCACACTCCGCAGGAAAGCCTGGCGTCTCAAGGGCTGGGAAACAGGGTCATGGTGAGGTGCCTGCGTGGGGCACACACACAACTCCTGCTGGCCAGGGCCTACCTGCAGGAAGCCAGGTTCCTCTGTTGCCGGGGGCACCATAGCCGGGATGTCTAGCTTTAGCCAGGGCGGCTTCTTGCGCTGCAGGCTGCTTGTGCTGTCCCTGCGGGCCTCATTCATGGTTTCAGGTGGAGTGAGGCAGGCCTGGGGGTGTGAGGCACCATTCACTAATTACAATGCTGACTGATCTCTGACGACTCACTGTGCCAAGACCAATGAAGCAGTGATAAAGCCAACAGTGGTGCTTACAGCGGTCACGTCGGAGCACTGCCCTGTGCCCCACACTGACATGCTCTGTGCTTGCCTTGCTCCTCCCCATAGGCAGGTCCTCAGACAAGACTAATGCATGAGACATTGGGAGCACCTACTATGAGCAAGATCCTTAGGGTGCTTGGCACATACTGGAGAAGCAGGTGAAAATCCCTGCCCTCCCAACTGGGCATGTACACCTGTAACCTCAGCACTCGGGAGGCTGAG